GCTCATTAAGGCTTTCCTGCCACTCCTTATGATGATCATAAGAGAACATCCAAAGTACAGGGTCTGTGCCTGGGGAAGTACAAGGCACATAACAGACATTTAATAAAAGAGACTTTATACAAAGGGAAATAAGAAGGCATTTAGTAGTATAGATATACCTCTTACTTTGATTGTGGTGATGGTTCCAGAGGTACATGCACGTGTCCAAATTCATCAGGATATATACCTTAATATGTGCAGCTTATTAAGAATCAATTGTACTTCAATAAATTTGCTTCAAATAAACACATAAATTAGCATTTATGTGCCTACCTCCTTTAGCAGATCATGAGCTACTCTAGGATAGAAACTTTCACTTATATGTCTTCATCCAAATGCCTTGTTTGGGCTCAGGACTGTTACTTAATATTCACTGTTAAATGAGTAGGTGGCTTGCTTTATGACGTATGAATTAAACAGACTCTCCTCCCTAGATGTCTAATTGGGAGAGATCATAACTACATAACTCTCCCTCTACTAGCTCTAAGAAAATGACAGGAGGCCACATAGGGATCAGAGATGGTAGAAAGGTGACTTTCATCCCCAAGACCAGCTAATAAGGGAAAGCACCAATTCATCATGAAGGTCCTGAGGCACACACTCTATCCCCACAGAGCCAGAGAAGAGACTCTACACCCACCTCTGTTATAAAAATAAAAGCTAAGCAGCCACTAGACTCCTCTGGCTGCCAAAAGCTTCCCAGATCTGGAGTTAAAGGCCTCTCTAACTAGCCAGCAAGCCTCTCACCAGAAGCAGACTGAGATGCAGCTCACACAGTAACTACTTCCTCACGCCCTTGTTTAGATGTGGACCTGCACACGCAACACTTACCCCAAAAGGTCACCCGCCTGACCCCCTTTAAAAACACCAAATAAGTCAAAGGCTGAGGTACTTAGTTCCACACAGATATTTTAAATGAATTTGGAAGCAACTTCGAAGGACTGTTTTTCTCCTTAGCCCCACACCCGGCATATTTTCTGTGGCAGCTGAGTTAAGCTTAAGCAGCATTTTCATCACTGACTCAATGTCAAAATATTCCTGGGATGTCCTCTTAACATTTTTTTCACTACTTCTGCTTTGTTTTATTCTTTCTCATTCATTCTCTCTGTCTTTGTCTCTCTCTGTCTCTCTGTCACTGACTGTCTCTCTCTGTCTCTGTATTTCTTTCTGTCTCTCTCCCCTTCTCCCTCTCCCTTCCTCCTCTTCTCCTCTCCCTTCCTCCCCTTCTCCCTGTCTCTCTTTCTTTCTCTTTTTCCCTCTCTCCTTCCCTTCCTCCATTCCTCCCCAACACATACACACATGCATGTATACATACATACCACAGAATAGGGATTCTAGCATCCATGATATAATTCAAAAATCACATATTTAGATGAGAAAAAAATGTCTTTATTTTTACTAGCCTCTAGCTGAAATACAGCATTCCCTTCCATTATGAACACAGGCATCAAACTAGAGTAGTATTAGCTATGAAGCTATAACACTTTGTAACAAAGAAGCTGAATGGCAATTTAATTGGCTTAAGAGCAGCCCAGGGGACTAGTAAAGTGCACCTCTGGGTGTGTCTAGGTGGGTCACAGTGGCATAATCTTTGTACTATATCTAGTCTCTGGCCCCTTCAAATATGCTCCCCCTCTGTGCTCTGCATCCCCATTGCCGTGAAGCGAGCAGCTTTGCTCTACCACACCCTTCTGCCTTGAAGCAAGCAAGGACTGGACCAAAACTTCCCAAGCCATCAGACATTTGACCTTTTCTCCTTTAAGGTACACACGTTGGGTATGCTGTCCTAGCAAAGGGAAGGCTGGCTAATACACACATCAACATATTTTTCTGAAATACCATTTATGTTTCTCACTATTTCAAAAATCATAGTAGTAGTCAGACTTCAAGGACATGCTATTACTTGTTAATAAAGAAATATATGTATTACTGGGGTTTTTTGCTTTAATTACTAATGGTATTTCAGTAATGCTATATAAGCATAGGTAAATTTTTTATAACATTTATAAATATTCTGAGAAGTCTTTAGGCTTTACTAGAACAAAGAAGCCCGTGGCTCAAAAAGAGTAAGAACCCCTGAAGAGTAAGCATTACAAGGTAAAATCTGAGTTCTCTAGGCTCATCAGGGTGTAGCCAGAGGAACTAGGGGCCAATAAGTGGCATTCAGTGGTGGCATGAGATTGGTCCTGGGAGCAGAGGGATAGTAGGGTTACTGGGTGAGAGTTTAGGGGGCGTTGGAGGCAGACTAATATACTGGCTGTGTCTAACTAGCACTGTACTCTTGGGCACTCAACTTCACCTCTCTGAGTTTCTACTTTCTCACATATAAGAATAATAGACTATAATTCTTATGAACATGAACTGACAGGATATATACAAGGCATGAAAAAATATAGTGTGTTTAAATTTTTAAAACTTTATCACAGTGAAAGACACAATGGCCAGACATGATTGTTACATGCCTATACTCCACCTCCTGCCTCGGGAGGCTGGGGCAGGAGGATTGCTACAAGTTTGTTGCCAGATTGCAATACAAAGTGCAGTCTAGGCCAGCTTGAACTGCATAACGAGACCCTCTCTCAAAAACAAAAACAAACAACAATATCAACATTAATTCTCCTCAAAATACTCTCCCTTAATTTGAACAAACTTATTCCACCATTCTTGTCACTTTCTAAAGCACTTTTGGAAGTCCTCTTACATATCTTTAGTAACACTGTTGTGGCTACCTTGATGTCCTGAATTGATTCAAAACACTTACTTTTCATGGTTATTTTGACTTTGGGGAAAAGTCAGAGCTGCATGGTGTTACATGTAGTGAATAAACTGAATGAGGGTGCACTAAAATGTTTTTACAAGCTGGCCTTTCCCCATTAGATGGCACTCAACAGAAGCACTCACTATATATTTTATCACACCTCATAAAGACATGGACAACAAAGGACTTCCAGAACTGCTTCAAAAGTGCTGAGAGTGATGGGTGAAGAGTGTTTGAAGTAAGGAGCAATGTTTTAAGGGGATTAATAGCAATACGTACTTTAATAAATTTTTACAATTTAAAAGTCCAGTGTAGTTTTTGATCACCCCTTGTATGAGCAGTAGCCACTACTGACCAGCTAAAAGGAAACTGGCTAGCTCTAGAAAAGCAGCTTTCCTCAGTGGGGGACTCACGGTTTGAGTTGGTTTTGATATATGAATCACCTGAGTTCCATGTAAGATTCCTCTATTATTAAGCTTCAGGGATACTCTGAGGGGTCTCAAACTCTAAAACACACCCAGGCAGACACAAGTCTAGCTCTTTTCTGTTCCCAGCTCACTGAAAGAAGAATTCATGGCAAACTGGAAAGCAGACCCCAGCCCTACAACAGAAGTCTCAAGTAAAAGGAATGAGCCAACCCTTCCCATACTGGTAAGAGGAGCTAATCACCTGCCTCTGGCTACATGAAGCAGCTGGCTCCTGTCCTGGCTTCTTATTACTTAGTGAGCAGTGCAGAGATTCTATGGTCCAAGCTGTTCTCTCTCCTACACAGCAGAGCCAGAGTCAGACCCAGGCTGCCAGGCCATGAGGCAAAGAGCCCTGAGGAAGGTCATGGAAAGTTTTCTTCATAGCTCTTCCAAAAGCTTGCTCAACTGAGGTTCAAATGTTCTGCTATACACAAAGATATATACATTTCTTTAAATACTACATAATTTATTTTTTTGTATTGAAATGTAAAGTATAAAAGATTGGAAGATACAGAATAATTACAGAGAAATTAAATCAACCATATGACCTGCCCCCAGAAATAAAACTATCAATATTTTGGTAAATTTTCTACTTGTCATACATAAATTAGGATTGCAATTCTACAAATAGGTTTATTTCTTGATTTTTATCATACTTTACCTATAGATATTTTCATTTGGAACTACTGACAGGCACAAAAACATTGCATCATTTGCTATGTGTAAAATCTGTAGGTTACTAAGAGATACAATGGCATGTCCAAGAACAGGATTGTGCATATAAATACTCAGAAAACTAAGAAGAGGAAGCCTATTTCAATCTTCTTAAATGACAAATAATATTAAACTTTTTTCTCCTGTTTTGCTTGAGGAGAATCTAGAGAAAATATTTTTGTGTCCTTAGCAAAGAGGCACTAGATGTCATTTTGTTTTTTCACTTTCTCATATCTTACTTTTCCCTGATAAGAGGAAAACTTTGAAATTCATTGCTGGGAAAATGATGTTCTGGTTGAGAAAGTGCTCCAAAAAAGTGGGGGGAAATAAGGCAGTATGCAAGGCAAGCTTCAAACTTGAAAACAATTAACTTGTCAGTTCTGCCATTGCAGACCTGAGACCAAAGAGCATCAGTTTCCCTGTGTGTCAATACAGACACTGCCATCTGCCTCTCAGGAATTGAAGGACTGTGCAGATGTAATAAGATTCCACATATGAAAGTCCTTTAGCAGTAGTAAAGTGCACTTCAGGACAACAGACACTAATTAATGTGATAATGGCTATCTATCTATCCATATATATCCCCCTCTATTTACAACACTTGAACCACACACGTAGAGGGACAGTGTCTACCATTGGTGAAAGCACAGGTTCTGTAGCCAGGCTGCACTTCCTCGCTTGATTAACCTTGCATTTAACCCCTCAGTTTCATCTTTAAAACAGGAAAAGAGTCTAACTACTTCTTAGGACTTCTGAAAGGGTTAAAATGATTTAATTTATACATGATTCTTTGAGCATTTCCTGGCAAATACTAAATACTATGTAAGGGTGAGCTTTAAGAACACTCATGTAAGATTGAAATAAACTTACACCAGGCAAAACTAATATGTACTTTAAAAAAATATTTTCAACAACACTTCTACCATTATTAATCGGAGAACTGTATTAGCAACTCCCACCAGTTCTCTAAAAAGCTTTGGTCCCACCTCCAACAGCTTGGGTTTAGCTGGTTCCCTTCCTACCTTCTCAGCATCCTGCTCGAAGAGCCTCAGTTGGAAGCACTGGTCCAGCTTGAGCTTGCGCACATGCCACATCTGATGCAGATGTTGCCGGGTGGAGTGTAGCTTGTCCAGGAGGCTGGTGATCTTAGGCACCAGGCTCTGGAAGTCAGCACTGCCTGGGATGCAGTTGCGCCCTGAGAAGCCATCACTGCAGCGAATACACTGTAGCAAGCGCTGCCCCTCCCGGTCAAGCTCCTCCACAGGGGCCTTCAGCACCTTTTTCTTCAGCTGCGTGTGCTCGTCAATAAGCCGCCGAGAGCCCTCCACATCCACAGGAAACTCTTTCCGGGCCAGCATCTCCTGCAGGTCCTCAAGGCGTGAGAGCAGGTGCACTGCACTGTTGAAGAACTCCTCCAGGGAGAGCCGCAGTTCAATCCACTCCTCATGGTTGTAGTCCAGAGAGCCATCAAACTCCTCCGTCAGCTGAGAGGGATCCACCAGCTTTGTGAGGCCCTCCACGGACACCATGCTTGTCTGGGAGGGGCAGATATAGAGTGAGAGACTCAGTGACATGGGGAAATGGGACAGGGCAGAAACAGGTGGAGGGAAAGGCAAGGAGAGAGAATAAGTCCACTTAAGAAAGATAAGAGCCTGCCTAGTAAAGGGTGAGTGGGAGACCAAGGGACTCACTGGTCAGAAGCTACAGATCAGCCACAGAGCATGACTGCCTCAACATTCCCACCAAAGAAAAATATGGTCTTGCATCTCTGTTTTCCTTATCTTTGCTCCTTCCCATAATAGGGTTAAGGTGCTATAAACAGAGGCTGGGAGAAATAATGACCCAACACCTGGCATGGAGGGCTCTTTGCTACAGATATAGACTCAGACTCATGGGCCAAGGCACTACCATGGTTGCAGGGAGCAATGTGGGTCAAATTTGAACTACAAGGATTTCATATGAAGTCAGCCTGGGGCCCATCACAGACACTCTTTTATGATAAACTGTGAAGAACTGGGGTGGCCCTTAGTTATTCTCTGCAAGGCTTCTACCAGGTCTTGGAGAGCAGAGTGGGAAATGTCTACTTTCAAGAAGCAGAATATATCCACAAGATATCTGCAGGCAATCATGCAGCTCATCATAAACACCTTTTGCTTCCTCTGAGGTTTTGACTTCCTATCTATCCCAGCCCTTTGAGATATCATGCCATAGTCTCCTCCTCTGTATAACACAGATGAAACAGGCAGATTATCCCTTTTCCATAAACAGGAAATCTGAAATGGATTTTGAAGCATTTTGAATTTCAGATTAGAAATGTTCGTCCATATGTTGATATAAATATTCCCAAATTTAAAAAAAAAAACACACACACACACAACTCTAAAATCTGAAATACTTCTGGACCCAGGCATTTTAGATAAGGGATATTAAATCTGAGATACCTTTCTTGTAGAGCTTGCTGGGATTAAACATGTTGATCCGTATAAAAGACACAGGAGGCCAGGCACACAGTAATGCTCCACCTTAGTCAGCATGCACCATGAGAACCTAAAGCTGCATCTTTACTTGAACCTGTAAAAGCATTTTGTTTCTATCTTGCTAGTCTCTGAGCATCTCCTCTTCCTCCTTCTCCTTCTCTCCCCTTCCTAAGACAAGAAAGTAAGAGAGCTGCCCTGGAAGATAATTCTCAAAGTGTGACTAATTTGGGGGCAAGAACTTGGGCATGGATAGTTCTCAAGTGATTTTATTGTGCAGTCAGATATAAACTTGCTACTCTGGATCCTAGCTACAGAAGGCATGGCCACTGGGCCAGTGCGATCAGCAGACTAAGTTTATCAGAAACGTATAATAGCAGGCGCCACCCCAGACCTATTGAGTCATAATCTGCAGTTACAAGATCCTTTAGGGATATGTGTTCATTAAACTTTGAGAAGCCTTACTCTAGAGCAATTTCTCCTTCAAATGCAGCTCAGTCTATACTTTTTTTTAACTTTAAAAAATATTTTATTGATTTGATACAGGGTCTCGCTACACAGCTCAGACTCAGTGATCCTCCTGTCTCAGCCTCCCCAGCACTGGGATGACAGGTGTGTACAACTATGCCTGGTTTCAGTGACTGGAGCAGCATGTCTGGGGTTCCAGGTAGCATGGCATTTGGTACTAGGGATCGAATCTGGGTCTGTGCTCTTGCCAGGCAGGCACTTAGACCAGTAAGCTATCTCCCCAGCCCTGAGTTTACATTTCTAAAAGTCCCCCATGAACATATTCACCAGTTATTTATGAGGTAACTGCTATTGAGTAAGCCTATACTGCTTGCTCCTTGTTGCCTCAGTTTGCATTAGGAATTCTTTAAGATGGTGCTTTATAAATATTCTTCTAGGAGGGAAACCCTCAGCTATCTATCCTATATTCTGGCTTAGGAGACAGAGACAAACTTGCTCCACTTGGGTGAAGAAGGTGCAGGGAGATAGGATGTGCAGAAAAACTATAGGGAAGCAAAGTTTCAAGACTTATTGGTAATATCTTTTTCAGTCTCTCTAGCTTATAAATTTATAGACTTGTCACTGCTTCTGTATACAAAACAAAAGTGTTAAAGGCATTTTTCTACAAGGCCCCTAGTACTCTGTAAGGTGCTGGGAAACCATGAGAGTTAGCTGGTTTGATAACAAGCCAAATTTCATGGGTTATTCACAGAGAATGAGAGCTTCCTTTAGTCAGATGGTCAGATCACCAGGCTCAAATTGCAGCCAACTGGGGCCAATCCTGGGGCATAAGAGTCTGGGATGCAAAGTTGCTGAAAGATTCAAAGTAGCTCTGCCTTTATATCACACAGGCAGTAATATCTGCACACGTGCATGTGCATACACGCATGTGCGCACACGCATGCACACACACACACACACACACACACTCTTTATCTCCTTACAGGTGAGGGCCAAAATTCTGATCAGGGGAACAGCTCAATTTTGACTGGAACAAAGATGCATAAATCTTTCACTGGGCATGCTGTCATTAAAAATTTTTAAGGAATTCATATTTCAAAAAATTCTTAGGAAAATTTAGTTTAAAAAATGTTTTTCCTGACAGTAAAGGTCATATATCACCATTAAAAAAAAATAGGAAAACATAAAGAAAATAAAAATCACTCATTTTCTTAGCCATTTTGGAAGGCAGCTATGCTCACCACTATACCACCAATGCTTCCTAGCCATTTTGAATGAACGATTGTGAACATTTTCATGTGTATCTTAGCACCATATATACACTTAATAAACAAGTTCTATATTATACCACCCACATTATTTTATAATGTGCCTTTTAAAAAATACACAATGAAAATTCTGTGATATTTTCTAAATGCGATCTCAATAACTTCATAGTATTTGCATATTAATATTATCTAAATCAGTGGTTAATACATACATATGGATTTATAACTTATTACACATGTTTATATATATTCTTTAAACATTATGAAGATTTTTGTATACATACTTGCTCATAACTTTAATTAGCTTTTTTCTTTTTGTTTTCAGTTTTTATGTTAAGACATTTTCCTAGAAAAATTACTAGATCAATGACTGTAAGCTCTTAAAGGCTTTCCATACAAATATCAAGTTGCTTTCAAAAATAGTCATTCCAATGAACACTCCCACCACCAGTATAAAAGATTATTCAATGAGGCTGTGCATTTGGGACCTTCTGAGCTTCTTATTCCTCTCCAGAGTCTAACTGGAGGAGTAAGGCCCAGGTGGCCAAGGAATCCTGAAATCTCAGCCCTTGAAATGTTGCATATGGTGGGGCAGGGGGAAAAGGGGAAGTGAAAAATGGGCAGGCAGCAGAGGGGAGGGGAAAGGAGGTAGAAGAAAGGTCTAGCTCACCTCAAAGATGAATTTGGAGCTGCCAAAGTTGGTCTTCTGTTTCTGCCAGAAGTTGTCTGGCTTAATGATGAGGGCCACATGGATCTCAGCTGGAAAGGCTTCTTGTAGTGTTTTGAGGAGGGGCTTGATGAGGTCCCACTTGGAGCCCCGCATGTCGATGATGACAGTGAAGCCACGTTTGCACACGTCCTCACTGTGGGGAGGTCAGAGATCGGGCATGATGAATCTTAGCTCCTGAGACTTTACAGTACACTGTCAAAAAGCACTGAGAACCCTGAATATCCTTTGACTTGAACCATCTTTGCAGGTTTATTCCAGGGCTCCTGCTACCTTCTGAGCCAACTCAATACCAGTAGGTACAACCTCAGAAAACCTTTCTAGACTAACCTGATCTGACCAACAGTCTTGGTATTTTTGCCTTTTTCAGCATTTAGCAAATAACTCAGCCTTCCTTTAAGTCAATAGTATGTGAGAGGTTTACCCTTTGGGGGTCTGTCATCGTGTTTGATTTTGTCTCCCTCTTTCCTTCCTTAGATGAATCATGTTTTCTCCACTCAAGTTTAAATCTCTAAATACAGAGACCCTATTGCCCCTAAAGATGAGGTGGAAATTCCTCAGCAAGACTGCTGGTTTCCCTTGCACCAACGACTGTGACAGACACAGGTACATTTTTACTGCTCAATTGAACTCAACTAGACAACCCTTTTCAATAAAGGGTTGTAGGCCAATTCAGCCAATGGATTAGAGATGGCACACAAAACACTAATGCCACCACTATATTTAAGATGAATTTCTCATAGTTCCAAATACGTTAACTTTTAAAAATCAGGTCAATGAGTCATGCTGAACACTTAGCTAGAGCAAGAATAGGACTGACACAAGGTCCTGTTCTCATGTTCTTCCATTTTAAAAGTCAGGCATGAAAATGCACCATTCAAGATTTGGGGAGGGGAGTGGGAAAAGTAACTCTTGAAATCAAGGCCAGCCAAAGTTAGTATCTTGAAAACCAAGAAATAAATAAGCCAAATGATTCAGAATGTTATGTAACTTATTAAGTAGCAAAGTTTATTTAAACACTTAAGCCTTGAGTATAACCCATGAAAATAAAAAGAAAACAATGAAGTTCAAAACATTTATGATGTCTGAGTTCAGAAGAAAGTCCTTTTTTTTTGGTAGCTACAAGTCTTTCTTCTTATTTTTATTTAACCTATCGAATTATTTCATAACCAAGCAGATTTTGGTTAGCTCACATTTTTTGTGTAAACACTAGTGCAGTATTTCCTTGGGGTCTTTCATCTAATTCCCTATTTTCTACACAGCACAGAACTTGCTTAAACCATTGCACATGACATGTGAATCTTAGATGTGCCCCCTACCACTGAGCAGAGCGGTAATTCCACAGTTAGAGGACTGAGACTAAAAAAGGAGATAAAACATCTTTCCAGGTTTTCATTATCAAATTTTCATGTCTGTGCAAGTATTCCAAATATATGACAACTTTTTAGGTCTCCCAGGAGAAAGCTGAGTCGTTTCTTCCAAAATCCGACATCCCAAAGGAAAGGAGCTGCCTTTTCTTCTCTGACACTTAATCAATCCATAAGTGGCCCAGGTCCTCCACAAATAATGTTCTCTGCCCTCTGAAAATAATATGATCTTCACTTAAGAATTTTTTTATTATAAGGAATATACGATAACAATAGGAAAATGAAAATATAAAAATAAAAAATCTATAGAAGAGATACCAGTGATACGAGTTTATAAACATTCCAGGCTATTATCAATCTTCTCTGTGTGTACAGTGTCCTGACTACATAGTGTTCTACTTTTCACTATAACATACAATATGTTGTCATTTATGAAACTGATCAGAAACTGTAAAATTTAATGATACACAGCCCATCCCTTCCAGCTATATCCAACCTCCAGCCTAATTTTCCCATTTTTAAATATTTTTAAAAGGAGGTTGTTTTCCTTATACACATTGTATTATGCACTATATATGTGGCCCACAATAACTTTTCTTCACCTAAAAAAGAGGGTTACAGGCTAACATAGCTGGATACCATAACTTAGTCACTGTCATTAATGCTTTGCAAAAAAAAAAAAAAAATTAAATCATATGTCCACTAGCCATTATACTATATGAAAGTAGCCCCTCTAGTGTATCCCCATGTTATGGTTGCGATCAAGGATAACCCCCTGAGGTCTAGGTCTCATAACTTGAAAGGCTGGGCTGTTGGATGGTGAATTGATCATGATGTTGTGATATTCATCACTGGCTTCATGCACTCAGTGCAGCAGCTGACTGTGCTATGAGGAGGTGGGGCCTGGTTGGAGGTAGGTAACTAGGATGCAGTGAATTAGAAGGGCTCGGGCTCTCTCTCTCTCTCTCTCTCTCTCTCGCTCTCGCTCTCGCTCTTGCTCTCTCTCTCCTTCCCTCCCTCCCTACTTCCTTACACCCATTACTTGAGCAGCTTTCCTCCTCCAGACCCTTCTACCATGCCTGAGAGCCAGCCAATCATGGACTGTAAATGTGAACCAAAATAAGTCTCTCTTCCTTTAAGTGATGTGTGTCTCAGTGATTTGAAAAGTGATTAAGACACCTCACCTGTACTGGTCACTGAATTTTTAAATTGTTTGCTTATTTCTACAAAAAAAAAACCCCACTTCATTTCATTTAAATGTCTTCTCTTGTTTACCATCTATTGGTTATTGATTCATTAAGTACTGCTTCTGGCCAGGCACAGTGGCACATGCCCAAAGTCTCAACACTCAGAAGAATGACACAAAAGGATCACCACAAGTTTGAGGCCAGCCTGGGCTACAAAGTGAGTTCAAGGCCAGCCTAGACCACATAGAAAGAACCTGTCTCAAAAAAATTTTTTGCTCTGCAAATCAGGTTATTTATCCATATTTTTGGTGGTGTTTTCAATGCTTTTCTCACTGAATGAATTGTGGTTTAGCTCCACTCACATTTGTGCATTCCCATGACATCAGGCACTGCAAAGTAACTGGGTCTTGCATGCCTTAGAGATAATAATGGTCTTACTCATTTTCCTATTCGTCAGGCTCCATCTCTGTTGTCATAATTATGCTGACACAAGAAATCTGTGGCCTTAACAACAAAAACTGAGTGTTGTTTCCCAGTCTGGCAGTTGACTACCCCATCATCTAAATGTGGGAGTCAGCAGCAGGTTACACACTATTAAGCAACAATTTCTGACAACTAAAGTAGAAATCAGGTACTAATATCTTTCAGGAGGCTCTAACTCAGGAGAGGGAGAAAGAAATCCTGGGCTGATGCTGAGAACGAATCTAATTGGTGTCTCTATGTGGAAACAGCCTAATATCCCAAGATACTTTTTATATCTGGTGTCAAGAAACAGCGGTACCTAGGAGGAGGAACATTTTGCCACATGTTTATTCTTTGCCACATGTTTATTCTTTGATTATGGGTGGCACTCACTAAATGTTATTTCATTATTTCATTTTATCCCCACAGTTACCTTACAAACTAAATTATCTCAGTATAAGAGACGATGAAACTGAAGCATAACATTTGCCTAAGGTCACATGACTAGCAAGTAGGCTAAGAAAATGAAATATTCAAAGCTGAGACTGTGGACTCCTATAACCATGCTCACAGCTATATCATGTTGTACCCACCACACTGACATTGGGTGTGGGTGGTGATGTGTTGGGTATAGGAGTTGAGAGTCAGCAATAAGGGGATTATGGAGCTCATAAAAGATAAAGGAAACTAAGTCTTGAGTATCAGTGGATAATCTCCAGTTGATAGTCAGTGCAAAATCACAAAACCAAGAAACAATAATATGGAGTATTGATAAAGTTCAACTGTTTCATATTGGTTCAAGCATGTATACAAATAGGAAGACAGTGGTGAGTATGATGTCCTGAGCACACTAGAAAATCCCTTTTTGGGCTGTCTCTTCTCTTGTACTACACTCCCAGGCACCAAGAAGACTTGCCACATGGATACCATGCTACACTCATAGGCAGGTGCTCACGCATACACACACACACACACACACACACACACACACACACACACACACTCATACACCTCTCCTTTTTGTAGACCAGGTTCCTAGGACTTAAAATCCTAAAACTCTTTGCCCAAAGAACCCTAAGCCTATTCCTTAGGTTCACTTATACCTGTTTCCAGAGTCCAATCCCCCAGGGCAAATAACACCATCAGAAAGTGTACCCCTAGTCTACAGGTGGCAACAGGCTACTATTTGCAAGGAACAGAGACTTACAAGCTAGGTATCCTGGTACATCCCCCTTGCTATGTAGGACAGAGGTGGGGAATGGCAGGCAAATGAGAAGGCAGGCAAAATGTAGGCTGGGGACCTGTCTCTCTGTGCTGCCATGTTTTGACATAGGATTCAGAGGAGTCTAAGAAATCTAAAGGTGGCCTTTCAGGTTGCTACAAAGATGCTTTTTTTCAGTTTGTTAGCTTACTACATCACTTTTAAATAGTTAGAGAAAGGGTATGGGCTCTCATTTGTTCTCTGGTCCTTAGCTCTGCAAGACTTTACCAGAGAAGAGGAGAGAGTAGAAGCAGACTTCAGATCAGGATCTACCATACGCTGAGTCAGGAGTGTTAGATTATTCTACGGTCATGAGGTACTGTGGGAGGGTACAACATTCAGGGAAAGTGGCTTGGGAAGATCCCTTTCAGCTGTGCAGAGAGTAGACTGGAATCATCCCAAAGGAGAGGTGAGAGTAGGAGTACAGAAGCCACCTTCTCTGAGTCCCTGCCAAAACGACTCTTCAATAAAATCCTTCTTGGGCCACTCTATTGAAAATTACAACTGTTGCCAGATATTCTCCACCCTATTCCCTGATTTATTTTTCTCTTTAGTTCTTATAAACATCAGGATAATATATTTCTTTGTTGTCCATCTTCCTTCACTAGAGAGTAACCTCACTTAGTGCAGGAATTTTTGTATTCATTTCATTGCTGGATCCAAGTGTCATCCAGTGCATGATGCATAGAAAGACTCAATACATTGAAAAAATAGAGGTAGCAGTTAAAGGTACAGAAACTAGAATCCAGCTTCCTAGGTCTGAATCCCAAATCCACCAGCTATATACTGTAGACCTTGAACAAGTTACCTTTAGCCTCTCTGGCTAACCACACCTGAAGCAGGAGAATGGGAACAGTGG